AAAAAAAAAAAACAAAGCCCAGAGGCGGAGCAGGACACGGCTCACAGGGAGTCCGCGAGGGACTTCGGCGCGCCGGACGATGCCGACAGCATGGCTCGGTTGAGCTCGCGCTCGGCCTCGGTCATGGTCTGCAGCGCGGCCACATTGTCCGGGTCGTGGAGCTCGTACTTTTGCAGCCCCTCACGCTTGCCGATCCATCCAAGCAGCTTGTACTTGTAGAAGCGCCCCGGGTCGATGGACTGGTCCCATGCCCGCTCCAAGTGCAGGCGGAAGTCCAACCCGGCGGCCACGGCGCCCAGGAGGATCCCCGCGCAAGCCGGCAGCAGGAAGGGGAACCCCCGGACCACGGGCAGATACCGCGTGAAGGAGGCCGATGTGTTGGTCCACTCGGCATGAAGGGTCATCCGGCCCCAGTGGGTGGATCGGTGGGAAAGGCGCGGCTGCAGGGTGAACGGCCGCATGAAGAGCCGTGATTTGTTGTCGAACATGGCGAAGGTGGGAAGGGGCGAGGCGAATTGGCCGACGAGCGAGGAGCAGAGGGGGCGCGGGGGAGGGGGGGGGCGAGGAGAGGCGGGCCTGGCCATCGATGTGCTCCACACCGGCCCGCACACACCGGAGGCATAAAAGTCCAGGACAAATGGTGCCAACGAATGGACACATAAATTGCCGCGATCTGGCCATCTGGCCGCGAGTTTGGGCTGCATGAGTGTGCCTCCATACACGTTCCCTGGCGCGCCGCCCTGCCCCCCCCCCCCCCTGCCACGCCTCCTGCTCCTCCCCCGCCTTCCTGCTTCTGTTCCTCGTCGGTTGCTGCGCGCACCAGTGCAAGTCTCCCGGGCCCTGCCATTCCTCCCTGCCGGGGGTCCGGAGCAGAAGGATGCTTTTTCGACTCCGCCATTGCCCGGGAGTACGGTGGCACAGCCACCCCGGCCTGGGCCTGCGCCGCCCACTGTCCACGGCGGCCAGCGATATTGATCGTACCATCGCCGAACTCGCCCAAGCGGTCGAGCGCCTGGAAGCGGTGCAGGCCGAGCTGGACCTTCGCTCGCAACAGGTGGCCGCCACCCAGGCCGACTTGCAGCTGGCCATCCGCCGGTGTCGAGCCCAATGGTCGGAGCACCGGCTGGATGCCATGCGCCAAGCGGCCGCCAACGCCGGACGCGAGCTTATTCCCGCCAGCCGCATGACCTCCCAGCAACGGTTTCTGATCGATGCAGCCACAATCATCCTACACCCGCAAGCCCCGGAAGATTGGGCCCCGGCTCCCCTCAACCCGAGGGGGCTGCCCTTTGTCCCCGGGCCCCTGGATCGGTTTTTCAAGCTCTCGACGCTTTTGCGGCTGCTCAATCGCGAGGCCGCCGCTGGCGAGCCGCCGGTGTCCGATGCACCTGCGGCCCTTGATCCGGGCGTGGTCTCCGAGCGGCATCGCCAGCTCCGAGCGCTGATCGGCTCACCAACCTTGTGCATCGATTGGCCAGACGCATGGGCCGGCGTGCACGTTGGACCGACCCTCCAGCCCCAGCAACTAGAGCAGGCTCTGGCCGAGCTGGTGGCCCTCTTCCCGAAGGAGGCCGAAGCCATCCGCTCTCGGCAGTACAGAGCGGTGATGGCCACGCTTCACGCGTGCTTCCGGTATGATCTCCCCTTGCCCTTTGCCACGCCGTTCAAACTCCGCGGAATCCTACTGGCCCCGGTATCGACAACCAGGCCAGAATGAATAGCACGCGCAACTCCCAACAAGTGGGGATATATTGTGGTCAGGAATCCAACACGCTGGGACCCGGCCCCCGGGGCTAGTCCAGCAGCGCGTGCAATTCCAGCATGCGAATCCGCCGGGCTTGGTCCTGGAGACGCTGGCGTACCATTGGCAGCCGATTGCGCACATGGCCACTCAGCAGGGCAAATTGCTCCAGCGTCGCGTCGCTGGGCCGGAGCAAGAGGAAGGGACGGAGCCAAGCAAGCGAAGTTAGCCCACAGGCGACGGGGAAGGAGGGACACAGGGGGCGGAGGGTGGCGGCGGGGCCGGGGGG